TGCGGAGCGAGTGGCACTGCTGCGCCGCCGCAGCTGGCCTGCATTTGGTTCCTTGTTTTCTTTCTTTTAAGTGTTTTTATCGTACAGCGTGTGCACTCACCAGAGAGAGAGGGGGAAAGCGAGAAAACACTGCCCGGGGTAGGGGATGCGGGGTGGCCATGCCATAGTCCCTTTTCCTCCATTCTCAGGATTTGGGGCATGCACACCACGCCCAGCGTGACTTTCAAGCCACCAGGCTCGAGGCCTGACCTACGGCTGTCCATCTTCTTTAACCACCACACCACCTGCCGGTCCCTGGCCTATTTTTCCAAACATATCATTTAAGAATTATTTTCCACTAAGGACTTAATCTACTTTTAGTATTTGTAAAAGGTACTTTTCTGAGGGCTGAGTAGGGTTTTAGATCTCACTAGCCGGCTTCGCTACACGGGGCAGCTGTTCACAGAACAAAGCCCTGAGCTGCGAGCTGTCGTGCACACCCTGTGGCCGGCTTCCCGGGACAGGACAGCCACCCACGTGGCCTCTGCTGTCGTCTCAAAGCTCCGCACATGTTGACCAAGTCCAGCCAGAGCCAGCCAGCGGGCAGTGATGCACAGTTGCTCCTAGTGGTGAACGCAGCTTTCCCGGCGTCGGGGCTTGTTGGGAGTGGAGGGGGTGCTCCGGGACGCCGCCACGCCCGCACTCCCGGCCTGGGGCATCTCAGCACACATGCACACACGGGTGTCCCGCTGTGACGTGATGTGTGTGCTTCTAAAACCAGGCACCCCAGATAACAGGGTTTCTGGGAAGTCAGACTCCCGCAGTAAGAAGGCCCAGGAAATTGGAGAGGGATGCTGGATTCCCAGGCAGAGATTGTGGTAAACAGAGGGCTTCATCTCAGGTGGAAGCGTCGGGGAGATTAACGGAGGGCAAGACTCCCGCAGAGGTGTGGGGACCAACCACTGTCCTGTCTGACTCTTGGTGGCCTAAAGTGTCACCATGCCAGGAAACTGCACAGGAGCTAATGCTCCTTCAAAGGGGCGCTGGGTGCTGAGGCTCCCAGAGGAGCTGGCACAGTCGGGGCCACACCACGGCGCTGGGTGCTGAGGCTTCCGGAGGAGCTGGCACGATCGGGGCCGCGCCACGGCGCTGGGTGCTCACGGCACAGGGGGTGCGTCTCCCAGTGTCAGCTGAGTCGGATGCACCGAGACTGTTCCCCAAGGCTGTGGGTTCACCTTTGAGTTTTCCCAGTTCATTAGTTGTGTTAGAATTTAGAGTAGACCTGACAGCTTGGCCCTGACACTAGCTCTCCAGTAAGAATCTCTTAAGTTACCTTCATGTAGGTCCGTAGTAAAAAGTTTACGATGATTTCAGGTAATTTGTTTGACGAGATAACTGGTTTTTCCAATTTTCTTTCCAGTGAAGGGCTTTTTTTATGTTTCACTACTTCTTGGCATTCTGAAGGAGGTAACCAGAAGTTTCTTGACTCAGAAAACAGACTCAGAGAAAGCTGCAGCCTTGTTTGACACAGTCCCGAAAGTGTTTCAGAAGATGTTGGAATGTATTGCTCGGAGCTTCAGGACACAGCCGGAAGAAAGCCTGCAGGTGCGCAGGCCTCCCCAGCACGGCCCTTAGCTGCCGTGGGGTGCTACGTGTCCCACGACAGGGAGGGGTGCACGGGGCGGGGGGAGTCCCTGAGGCGCTGTCCAGGTAGAGCTTCGCGCCACCCAGACGGGAGGCCAGGAGCTGCATCGTTCTAGACAAGCCTGTAGGTCTTGGGCAGGTCGACCAGCGCAGGGCTGGAGGCTGGGGCGGCTGCTGCTGCTCGAGTGTGCAGTCCTCCAAGGATGGGCCAGCAGGCGGTTTCGGGTGCTGGATTCCCACATGGCTGACTGCAGTTTGAGTCCTGGACCTGGCAGCTTGCCTTTTCACTTTCTCTCTCTGTCTCTCTCTGGTCAAATAAAAATAAATATCTAAAGTTAAAATAATTCTAAAAAAAGAACTTTCCAAGTACAACACACTTTGCAGATGTAGAGCCCCAGGTACCTTGCCCAGGTGCCCTGCTGATTCCCCCGCGCCCTCCCGCCCATGTCTGGGCTGAGCTCTGGCAGGAGTGAGTGTCACAGACCCTGAGGGGCCCACGGTGCCCTCTGCTGGCCGGAAGCGGATACACTGTGTCGGGTAGCTGTGTGCCAGCTTGGCTCTGCCCCGAGGCTGTGGAATGCCAGTTCTTAAGCAAAACTCTTCTCTTTTCAGAGACCCCCAATTTTTCTAAGCAACCATTAAAAAATATCAACCAGCTATTCTTTCTTTTTCTTTTTGGAGAGACTTTTGCTACAGGGCAGGTGCATTTGTCATAGACAGAAAGTGAGAAATCATCCCCCCAGAGGGGATAGCTACTCCGCAATCCCTTCTCCTCTTGGGATTTTGGGCACATACACCCACACACCCAGCGTGAGTTTTAAGCCACCAGGTCAAGGATTTGAGCCACAGATGGCCAGGTGGGGGTCCAGCTCCTTCACCATTATGCTACCCGCTGGCCCTGAAGTGCTTATTTTTCAATGAGGATTTAAAGCAATGCTTAAAATGTGGAAGACTTAAAATTTTGCTCTGTTCTCGGCTGATCAAAGTATGGAGAGTCACTGCCGTGCCCCCTAGCCCGGCTGTACTGGAGTTAGACTGACTCGGCAGTCCTGATTTTGGTGATGGTCCTGGGGGCCGTGGCCCGTGAGCAGTGGGAGGTTGCCACTGTGTGCTTTCCCAGGAGCGTTAGCCCACGTCCGTGTCGCCTCTGAGCCCGTCTTGCCATGATGCTGACAGCCTCCGTGCCGCTTCATCCCTGCCCCGTGACGCTTCCACGCTGAGCATTCTCTTCACTTGGGGAGTGTGTGGTCTAGTGCAATTCCCACTGGCTTCAGGCACGTCTCTCTTGTTGAGCCGCAGTGTTGATGGGACCAGAACCGGTGGCAGAGGAGAGTCATGACTGTGGCCCATGGCACCTGAGATGAAGGCTCGCGTCCTGGGACAGGGGGTGCTCATTAAACCACTGTTTGGAGTCCTGACTGCATCCTTAGCCGCCCTGACACGTGTGTTCTTTCTCCCAGCTCCTCTGTTCTGCGCAGACCCCCCTCCATGAGTTCTTGACCACCCTACAGTCCCGGCATGCGCACTCGCCCGCCCACCGGGGTGTGCTGTCCACGCTGATTGCTGCGCCCGTGGTTGAGATCAGCCACCAGCTGCGCAAGGTGAGTCCCAGTCACCCCAAACCACCCGCTGAGGGCCTGGGGGGCACATTTTAAGGTTTCCAATTGTGTTTTAAGAATTCAGAGTTTAGGGGCCAGTAGTTGGCATGGTGGTGGTGGTAATGGACTCCCACATGGCCAACCGTAGTTTAAATCCTGAACCTGGAAACTTGAAACTCATGCCAGGTTCACATGCATGCCCACAGAGCATGAGAGAAGAATGGAGAAGGATTGCGCATAGCCTCCCCTGAGCGCTGATTTTTCACCTTCGCCCTCTCTGTCTCTCTGTGTCTCTGGTGAGTTCATACGCCGTATAGCAAAAATCTCTCAAAAAAACTCAAAAACTCAAAGTTTAGGGAAATGGCTGTGACCATGTTTCAGGCTTTAAGAGCTAGTTATCATTTAGAACCACATAAAGAATACGTTCAGGCTGTCATCACTCTGGAGAAAACAGAACGAGACCTTACGAGGGCCTGGGGGGCACATTTTAAGGTTTCCAATTGTGTTTTAAGAATTCAGAGTTTAGGGGCCAGTAGTTGGCATGGTGGTGGTGGTAATGGACTCCCACATGGCCAACCGTAGTTTAAATCCTGAACCTGGAAACTTGAAACTCATGCCAGGTTCACATGCATGCCCACAGAGCATGAGAGAAGAATGGAGAAGGATTGCGCATAGCCTCCCCTGAGCGCTGATTTTTCACCTTCGCCCTCTCTGTCTCTCTGTGTCTCTGGTGAGTTCATACGCCGTATAGCAAAAATCTCTCAAAAAAAACTCAAAAACTCAAAGTTTAGGGAATGGCTGTGACCATGTTTCAGGCTTTAAGAGCTAGTTATCATTTAGAACCACATAAAGAATACGTTCAGGCTGTCATCACTCTGGAGAAAACAGAACGAGACCTTACGTTGCGAACACTGTTCTCTCCTACACGAGAGCTTGAGACGGGCTCACGGCCTGAGGCTCCTCTCTTGGGAGGACGGTGGTGGACGCTGGACCCCTCTCTCGGGTGGCCTGTGAGGCAGTAGCCTTCTGTTTGTTTTCCTGAGCGTAGGAAATTGAAGCCCGTGGTGCCTGTTTGAGCAGTAACTGGCTCCTTCCATCAACTGTCGTACTTCCTGGACAGTGGCTGAGGATGAGTGGAAGAACTTTAGTTACATATAAGCTGCATGGTCAGGAGGGCCCACGCCAAGGCAGAGTGGGGTGTTGGCCACACGCCTTGCTCAGGGTGCTCCCTCTGCCTTCGACGGCATGGTCGAGGGTGTACATGGGGCCGTGACCTGAAAAGACAGTAAAGGTAGCGATAGGCTTTCCGACGGAATCCCGTTGAATTGGTGTTTGTTACATAAAATAGACATCGTGGTGACCTCAACTTTATAATGTAAAAGCAGGACTAATAAAAAGTCCGTCTGGAGTGGGAGGTTGGTGTGGTTAAGGCACTAGTCTCCAGCGTGGCCAGCACGGTCCCAGTCCCAGACCTGGCGACTGGCTTTCTCACTTTCCCTTTGTCTGTCTGTCTCTCTGGTCAAACTTAAAAATAATAATAAATAAAATAAGTAATTCTTGAAAGAAAGAAAGAAAAAAGTTAACTAAGTTCTCAAACATTACATAAGATTGAAGGCTCTCCTTACAGCTTGAAGGGAGGTCATTTGGGTTTGGGAGAGTGACCAGTGGGTGGGCTACTCAGCCGGCTCGCCCTCCCCTTTCCTAAGTAAGGTTCTGCTGGAATGCAGCCGTGCCTGCGTGTGCTGCGCCGGCGGACTAAGGCAGCCACTCTTTTGCTGCCTTTCAGGGAGCGCTCGCTGGCCTCGGCCCCGCTCTCCTCTCGTTCTATGTGGCTTGCTCTTGTCTGCGAGAGCCCTGGTTTCTCTCTGTGTGTCTGTGAGCGCTGTGTGGCCCGTGCACATTTCACAACCCTGTGTTCTTCGTGAATCGGCCACCTGGTTATCCTGAAGGGTCTCTTCATCATGGAGTCTGCCACTCTCCTCGGGCCCACGCTCCGGGTTTGCTCCATGATCGCCGGCTCCTGCCTGTCCTTGTGGGTAAGGGCTGCTTCTGTGCGCACCACGTGGTGGGGTAGCCCCAGCTGCAGGTGTCTGCCTCAGACGGAAGCGCTTGGAGTCGGCCGATGAGGAAGCCTTCGCTATGATTGGCTGGAAACTGGTCGTTGCCATGGCTTCCGTCAGTCCCATTCACTCTGCTCACCTCTGCTTCTCTCCCTCTCTGGCCGTGTTTTGATGAGCCCAGCATTTTACTACCCATCTCGTCATCTGCTGACTCATAACATCTTTGGTTCCCTTTTATTTTTTAGATTTTTGCCATAGGGTGCATCCCATCTCATCATCTGCTGACTCATAATATCTTTGGTTCCCTTTTATTTTTTTAGATTTTTGCCATAGGGTGCATGCACTCACCAGAGAGGAGCGAGACAGGCAGAGATACAGAGAGGGAAAGTGAGACATCACCCCTCATGGGGATGGTCACACCACAGTCTCTCTTCCATTCTCTTCCTGGGATCTTGGGCACACATAAGTGCCCACATGGTTCCCCGCTGCTAGCTCTGGGACTCCAACTCTGGTGAGCCCTGTGGGAGTCCGAGACAGAGACAACTAGAAATCACCCCCCAAGGGTGATGGCCACACCAGTCCCCTCTCCTCCATTCTCCTTTGGGATTTTGGGCATGCATGCACACATGCCTGGCATGAGTTTTAAGCCACCATGTCTGGGACTAGAACCACGATCGACCACATGCAAGTCCAGTGACATAAGCAGTGTGCCCTCTGCTGGTCCAGGTATTTCAGCACAGTCTTGCCATGTCATGATCCCTGCCCCAGACTCCTGGTTTTAGCCAGGACCACTGCTATGCCTCCAGCTGCACTGGCTTGGGTCAGGAGCTGACCCTGGACCAACCATGCAGCCCCAGCCAGCGTACACCAGTGCCCTCCCACATGCACTGCCAGTGATGGGTCGCCATGGGGCCTTGGAGTCATTCTGTCCAGCTGGTGTCCCCCAACCCGTGTTGCTGGTGTGCACTTGATCTGCATGTGCACATGACCGAAGCCGGGGGCTCTACTGCTCTGTCCTGGTCCGTAGTGGTTGGTCTCCTTGTCTCGGCAGCGTGGGGACAGCGCCGCCCCTCTGGTGACGTGCAGCTGTGTGGCGAGCAGTGCTGTTGCCTTGTGTCATGACAGCTCATTGGCTCTGGCCGCTCGTGCCCCAGCAGAGGGAGGGTGGGAGGTGTCGTGCCCAGTAGTCGTGCCTCAGGGGAATCCCCTAAAAGGGCCCAACATTGGCAAGACATGGCAGAGCCACTGCTGGGGTAGACGGGACCCTCCACCAGTGGGACACTGCTGAGTGCCGGAGTGGGGGCTTGCACCGACTTCCCTGTGAGGATACTCTGGCCTCAGAGGCTGCTGTGTAGAGGCATTTCCCTGTGGGCCTAGATGAACACTGTGCCACCGAAGGGGCTGCCCCAAGGCACGGTACTGTCTGGTGGGGGCGGGCCCCCCCCCCCCCCCCCCCGGCCCGGC